GAACCGCCGCGGAACGAGCGCGCGAGCGGCACTAGACGCCGTGCGGAACCGCCGCGGAACGAGCGCGCGAGCGACACTTGGCACCGCGGGTGGCGCGGTGTCACCTGATCACCCGTCACGTGTCGGCCGATGATCTGAGCTTTCCGTCGGCGGGCGCCCGAGCTGCAGATGGCTAATCATCTCGGAGCTCGGTGACCCCGTGCCGCCGACGACAGGGCGTCAGGCACCAGTCGCTATGCGCCGCACATTGCCCAACACCGGGCCCGGAAGCGCCGTGTTACATCTGCCAGTTGGCCGGTGCTCCAGCCCAAGCACAGCTATTCTCAAGACTAGATTGGTTTCGCTTGGGTGGAGCTCCCATAACCGTTCGCGCCGCTTTGGAGTGAAAGATTCAGATAAGGGCGCAATGCTCCAAGAGTGGCTCGTTCGCGATGAGAGCGATTTTGCGCGTGTTTCCGGCTCTTCGTTTCGAATTGGCGAAAACCATTCGTTCTCAAGGTGGACACTTGTGCTGTGTTCTATTCCCGCATTGTAACATGCATCACTTGTCTAGACCACTATAACGGTGGATGTTACAACTGCAGGCATTTGACAGCCGTACCACGTACCAGCCCGTTTACTACAAAACGTACCATGGGTTTTGCTGTTTGCAATCAAGCGAATACACTCCTCTGACGAACAACAACCGCGGGATATAACTTACAATATTTGCCATTGTTTCAGTCACACTTCCTTGTTTCCTAGAGGCTAGCGTTTCAATGAAGCCATAGAGCGAGAAAGCGACAAATCGATGTCACGAAAGTTCAGGTTATGCTCGGAAGTCAACAGCAAACAGTCATCATGCTTCCGGCAGTAAGGCACTTTCACAATCACTGAGCCGATATAAAAGTAGAAAAGATCCCAATAGCCAGACCGAAACCAATACAGCGTGCAATAGGTCAGAAGTGACGTGTGAGCACAACGCGATGCAACCAATTCAAAAGAACCAAAACTCGCTCCTGCTAAACACATTGGAATCGCGTTACTGCGTCACGCCCTCGGTCACGACGTTCCGTGACGTGCGAGCTGAGAGCCGGCGTCGATTTCACCGCGTCGCCGCAGAATGGCACGCGGTTAGGGAGGCCCGTGGCCCGGCAGACGGGCGCGGCTCGTTTCCGCCCGCTGCCAGCGCGTCGCCGCCCGGCCGGCGCCGCTCAGTCCGTCCCGGCTCAGCCCTGAGCTGGCCCCGAGGTCGGCGCTGTCGCCGCGTCACGTGCGGTCCCGACCCACGTGCCGGCGAGCGGCCGCTGCAGTCGCGGGCAGATGCCACTGACCCCCCGCCGTCCCGGTCCAGCGCAGCGTAACCCCGGCGTCAGGACATCGGCCGGACCCCAGCCGGCGCCCGTCGCCGACCCGCCGGCGACTACACCCAGTACTGGTTCTTGCGCAGGATCGGGTTACTCGGCTGGCTAGCGCTGACCTCCGAGCCGTCGTGGCTCCAGCCGTCGTCGCAGAACTGTCGGTCCGTGTCCACGTCGTACGAGTAGGTGAGCTCGGACGGCGGCGCGCCCGTGTAGAGCGGCGTCACCGTGCACTGCGGCACGCACGGCGACACGTCGCGCTCCGGCCAGCCGGGCTCCAGCAGGCGGGGCCGCTCCAGGAAGCGCGGCCGTGGCAGGCTGCCGTTGGCTGAGAGGCGCGGCCTGGACGCCATCGGCTCGGGCCGCGGCAGCGTGCTGATGGTGGACGGCCGCGGCAGGGTCGAGTTGATGAAGTCGGGCGTGGAGGCGCGGCTGGCCGAGCGCGGGCTCTCGGCCGCTGGCACCAGCTCCTGCAGCCGCGTCTGGCCGAGGTCGCGCGCCTTGCGCGCCGCGCGCCGTCGCCGGTCGGTGGCGCACTTGACGACGATCAGCAGCAGGATCGAAGTGATCACCACACCAATCACCACGCCCGCCACCAGCACGTAGTCGCTGCGCATGAAGGAGGCCGCGTCGGCCGGCCGGTCGCGGCCCACCACCGAGTTGACGCCGGGCAGCGCCTTGTCGGCCTCGAGCGTCGCGGCGCTCACCAGCTCCACGGCCAGGCTGCCCCGCGCCGGCTGCACACCGTTCGCCGTCAGCTCGAACCGTACCGCGTCCGCCAGCGTCTCGTTGCCCTCGAGCGACGCGTCGGCCGCCACGAAGAAGATGATGTTCTGGGTGATGTCGGCGTGCGTGAAGGAGGTAACGTTCCATGCGCGCGCGGCGCGCCGCCGCCTCCCGGCCGGCAGCATCTGCGTGACGCGGCCGTGGCGCGGCGGCCGCAGCAGCCGGTAGCGGGGATCGCCACCGGAGCGCAGCGCCAGCTCCGAGGCGTTCAGCACACTCCAGGCTGATCAGCGCTGCGCGGCCGGCGCGCAGCGCAGCGGCGCGAGCGTCACCAGCGGCCGGCTCGCCACCGAGAACGGTCTCATTGCGCACGGCGTTGAACTCGGTGTACACGGAGGCGACGAACGAGTCGTTGTGGCGCCTCAGGTCCATCTGCATGTAGGCGACGCGGCCGTTGTCGAGTCGCCTGCGTGAAGGGTGTTGACGATGTCGGCGCCTACGAAGAGGCGGCCTGTGCGCCGGCTCGACAGTCACGTTGAACACGACCTGGTCGCGCCGACCGTTCGTCTCAGGCGGAGACGTGCTGCGGGTCGAGCGTCACGCGACTCTTACCCTGTGTGATCGGCACCAGCTCGTTTACGCTCGATGCTGAGCGAGAGCGGGCACGACGGTGATGCCGAAGCCGGTGACGAGCGGACTGTGCTTGGCCGTCCCACACGCTGAAGTAGAACTGGTCGGCTCCAAGCGAGCCGTCCTGAGGCGTACTAGCAGTCGCTCGCGGTCCACGTCTTCCTGGCTAGAAGTTGCTGACACGCACGTGCGGCGTCTCCTTGAAGAAGACACTGCCACGGCTTGGGCGTTGATGATGGTGAAAGAGGATTTCGGCCGGTGCGTTGTCGGGGGGTCGGTGACAAGCAGGTTGTCCCGCCCGATGGCGGCCGTCTGCTTCTGCACGACCGTCAGACCGGGCGCAGTCGTCTGCAGCCGGAACTTCTGGTCGTTGACCGGCAGTCACCGTCACGTTCACAGTGCCGTTGTACAGCAGAACGTCCGAGGTGGGCGTGGCCAGGAACAAGCTGTAGCCGAAGCTGTCGGCGCGCGTGTCCGAGTGGTCGTGCCGGTAGGAGAGCCGGCCGGCGCTGATGTCCGCCTGCGTGAAGCGGGGCGTCTAGCCGGCCGCCGTCGTCCAGCCGCAGCTGTCCGTGCCGGCGGCGCTGACGTCAGCCGCAGCCGCACGTCCGGCGCGCCCTGGCCGGCCGAGTGACCGCGCAGAAACTCGGCCACGCCGCCGACGTCGAGTACGGAAGCGCGTGACGGGCGCGGCGCCGCCCTCCGGCAGCCGCAGCGGCGCGCTGTCCACGTAGCGCTGCAGGCCGCCACCGCTCGTGGTCGTCACGGAGACAGGCGATGCGCAGCCGGACGCGGCGCAGGGGCTCGGCCGGCGGCGTCTCGACGCGCAGCTCGACGCTGTCCTCGGCCGAGAGCGCGCCCAGCGGCCGCCGGTGCTCGTACAGCACCAGGCTGCGGTTTAGCTCCTGCTGTGTAAACCAGCTTATCTCGGCCGTGCTGCCGTCCGGCTGCTCCCTGGAGGAGTAGCGCCAGTCAGAGAGGACAGCGGCTGTAGAGCGCAAGGTATATCACTTGTGCAACTGAAAATAAAGCACTGGCACCAGGACGTGTGTAGCACGCGTACACGGCAGCACATACAGTACAGAGCAGTACATACAGTACAGCAGATTGCTGGGAGCCAGAATTGTACATACAAGGTCACTGAGGCATTCGGTATCCCAGCAAAGGCAGCGCTTGGTGCCCACAGAAGCGAGCTCATGGATACTGCATTGGGTTATTGAAGAATTTGAACTGTTAACAAGCTAACGACAAAATGCGGGAAATTGCACTGCCCTCGGTGGATCTCCTAAATGCTCTCTGGCAGTGAGATATCCCATGTTCGTCACTATTCTCACCGTAATTGTATACGCAGCTAGTATTGTTCCTGATCCCGTATTATTTCCCATATTTTCGTTTCGACAAAATCCCTAGACAGACCCTATCTGAAGACTGCCTTCCAAACATACGAATTGATGTCCTAAAGGGTTCGGAGGTACTTACCTCAGTTACTAATTGTCCTCCACCCGTTGACCGCTGCCTAGTGTTAGCTGCAGGGCCGATGCCGCGTGGCTCGTGGAGACCGCAACGTCGGGCGCCGGGGTTTCTGTTTCTAGACTTACTTACGAGTGCGCACGTTCAGAGCTATGATGTTACACGTTTTTACAACGAATGCATGTTTTGTGACCGCACAAAGTTACATATACATAAGTCCTAGACAGACCCTAGATGGGTTAATCGGTAGAAGGCAAAGGGCTTTTGCCGTCTCGCCCACTTGGTACCATTCAGTGCTGTCCGCAGAGCTATTCCAGCTATACGGGCGTCTCGGCTCATCAAGCCCGTTTAATGGGTGTCTGCGTCGTCAAGTGCGAGCATAACTTCCGGGACTTAACCTTAAAAAACGAATAACGCATCCAATTGAAATCTGGCCGCCATCCCTGTCAAAGCAGCCACACAGTGTATCTATGCACGGGTCTCAGCGCCCCCCGCCGTGCTTGGAAAGAATCCTGAAATGCTCGTTCTTTAAACGTAGCAAACACAATATACGATTTGCTCTGTATTTCCTCTGCGGTGTCAAAACGTCGCTCCACCAACTCGAACCTTATCTTGGAGAAGAACGAGAAGTCACAAGGAGCAAAGTCCGGTGAGCAAGACGGGTAACAAGTGACGATGATATTGGTGATACCAAAAAAACTCAGTGTTTTCAGCGCGTTATGAACGTGTGCGCTGTCGTGCTGGAGCGTTTAATCGTAATAACGGCAGAGTCCTGATTGTCTGCGCCAAGTGTTCTCGCTGAGACGCCTTAGAGCGGTGTAGTTGGACCTGGCAATTGACGGTCTGACCTTGGAGCACAGATTCACGGCGCACAAACTCGCGGCTGTTAAAAAATCAAGAATATTTCAAATCGTGTTCCCAATCTGCCTGTCTGAAGAATAATATTGGGTGCCAGATGCTCCACGTGACAGCTCGAATACCTACAGTGCTTCGAAAACGAGCGAGTCTTTTGGACGCACTAACGCCGTCGTCGCCTTGGCACCCACCCTCTTCACCGGATCTGATTATCTGTGACTTCTTCCCATTCCCAAAGATAGCGTTTAAGCTGGAGGGTCGCTATTTCAGCGGAGGAGATAAAGAATCTGGATGTCCGCCGTACATGAAGGAGATCCCGCGCGAGCCGCAGGTCGTGGCTGACACGTTTAAAGAACAAGGTTTCCAGAGTCTCCATACACAGCCTAAGATTTGTGTGTGTGTGTGGGGGGGGGGGGGGGGTAATGAATCGCTGCACAAGGTGATCACTTCGAAGTGGAGGACGGTCAATTTAATTAAGATAACTCTACATTTTCACCATTTTCTCGAAACTTTTTTACCTCACCCAAATGCATGTGAAGTAGGCGGGTTATTGTTTAACATATTTTTCGAGAAGAATTTCCACTGGGAACTTAACTGAGCGGTCCGTCGCATTTACGCCGGTGCGGCAGTTTGATAATATTATTGTTCTCGCAGGATGCCATTGGAACAAGCTTTCATAGCTCCAAAGCCCGACGGCATAGCTGAAGCAGTATCGACAGCATCTCGACAAACGTCGCCAACAAGTTGATGTCAGTCGGCGCGCCGCAGCCGATGCCGGATGGCGGTCATGAGCTAGAGGTGTACCGGCCCGGCAGGGGCGCATCCAGAGCCTTGGCAAGAGAGGGGGGCACTGGGTTAAGAAAGGGCCACTTGATGGTTAAAAGTCGCCCCCCCCCCCAACGCAACTTTGTGCGGTCCGCAAAACATGCATTCGTTGTAAAAACATGTAACATCATAGCTCTGAACGTGCGCACTCGCAGGTAAGTCTAGAAAACAGAACCCCGGCGCCCGACGTCGCGGTCTCCGCGAGCCACGCGGCATCGGCCCTGCAGCTAACACTAGGCAGCGGCCAACGGGCGGAAGGGAATTAGTAGCTGAGGAAAGTACCTTAAAACCCTTAAGGACATCAATTCTCATGTTTGGAAGGCAGTCCTGACGGATAGCAACGGATTAGCATTTACAACACCGCGAAATGGTGCTGAAATCTGGTAATGGATTAGAAGAGTAAACGTACACTTCGGGCTGCTGTAACCGTTTATCTGTTCAGATACATCCTCAATACTATGAAGATGCATTGTGAACCCTAGCCAAATCTTTAACAATGAGAACTGATTTTGAAATTCTTTCAAAACAGTACTTGATGACATGTTATCGCGGCTGGCACTCGCCGCCCGGTATTGCCTGCAGCGGACAACACCGTTCAGTTTTACTGAAAGTGCAACCCGACCATAGCTCTTCTTGCTCCCAAGTTGTCTTGCGCGCCTGATCAAAACGCTTCATGCAGTTTGTTTCACTAGTTGGTTCTACAAAAAAATGAACATTCCCAGGCAAAGATGTACTGGCCTTTTCTTCGTGTCGTACCTCAATTCCATCCATTATTTTGAATACTCATGAGAACCCCACATTTTTTTTTGGGGGGGGAAATAGGCTCGTAGATAAAACACTAACGGTCACATCATCGCCCCCAGCCAAGAGTTTGATACGGGCTCGGGTGGGGTGGGAATCAAATTGACCCCTCCCCCGAAGGTTTTCCAGAATGGTTTCCGAACGGCGCGGCGTAGCCGCGCCAAATTTTGCATAGCTGTCCAAAATTGAATAGCGGATCGTTTGGCATCAACAATTTAGATGTACCTTGTAAGTTCGCTGACCTATGGCAGGTCAAAGTCAGGCCAGGGTTTCAGCGAAGGCAATTTCTAGGGAATCCTCCGATCTCATCCAATAACGGAATGTTGGACGAAGCCATGCATCTCTGAGATGCTTTTTTAGACAACACAACAGTTGAATGAGCAAATTATATTGACCTAAAATCAGGTATGAAGGTCACGTCAAGGTCAAAACCAACCTGTTTTATTACTCTGGGGCTTGCTGTATGGGATAGCTTCTGGTGCTCATTTCGAGTTTATTGATAGCAGAAACCACATTATACATCTTCCATGGACTTCTTTGAGGTCAGAACAGGCTATTGGCCTGAAATGACCCAGGTCAACATTTTGTCTTAGGAACATAGCGTAATCTTTGTCGCTTAGTCGAATGCAAAACTCAAAGCAATCTTGTATGATTTTGGTCATCTTGACCTTCAAAAGGCCAAACAAGGTCACTGACCTTAATAAGAATGTAACATTTTGCTTAGAAACGGTTATCTACGTTCTGGGGCACTTTGGAGACCAACCTGGAACTTGACCTTGTTTGACCTTTTTGACCCTTAGGTCATGACCTAGGAATCTGAAACTTTAACCTAAGTGAGTTAACGTACAAGTCAACACACCCTGTAAATTTGGTGTCTCTAGCTTTCTGAGTTCCCGAGATCAGGGAGGGATCAAATTGACCCCCTCACCCGAGCGCAGGGTATCTAGCCGACCACCCGGGCGCGTGTTAAGGGCCATCTCTACCAGCGTGGAAGCCCTCGTTGACTCAACAGAATCCCTTATCGCCGCAGTTGGTTAGATAAGCAGCACAGACTCCAGTTCGGCTTAACGGTCCGTTGGCTGAAATGGGTTGGAAGGACCCTTGACATCTTGGGGACACAATCGAAGCATTGTCCTTCCCTCGCATTTCCTCACTGTGGGCTCTCATTATAACTTTTCGTATATCCTCGCATTAACAGGGGAAAGATTGTCAGCAAGAGGCCCTCTGCACCTGTCACCGAAATTCCGGACCCTGTCCCTGTTAAGCAAATGCTCCACTGGCGGACTTGGGACCTCTGCCGACACGGAGCCCTTGTCGGGCACTGGGGCTGCCAACCTCCACAAGGGCCCCTCATTGTTGCAGGGGCCCCGACTTATGCAAACCGCTGGTCCCGGTCCCCCCCATGCTTGGGAAATGGACCCCCAGGGCTCGGAGCGACACGGAGCCAACTTTTCGGCGTTGGTGGTCTCTGGCCTAAATAGAGACCTGTATTGTGCCATGGGGTCCTCAATCGGTGAAAGAGTTCCTCTATCTGGCATTCAAGGTCACAGCCCTACAGGCCCGGATCTTTAATGGGACCTGCTGCAAGCCCTTCGTGCCCTTCATCGTCGGTCCCGAAGAGCCCATCGGGTTACTCTTTGGGCCCCCTCGAACACTATTTCTGGCCGACTCGGGCCTCTTACCAACACGGAACCCTGTGGTAGGCAATGAGGGCTCCTGGCCGCTACATGGGCTCAAGTGCACTCAACGGCCCTGACTAATCTTAACCGCGGTCTCCTGCTTTGTTTTTGTTTGGGAAATGGGCTCTTAGGCGCAGGCCGACACGGAGCCCACTGTCCGGTACGGGTGGAAACTGGCCAACATGGAGGTCCTCATCGACTCAGGGCAGTCCCAACGGTGGTCCTGAGAGGTCTTTCGAGGCCCTCAGGACCTAAGGGAGAAAACGCAGGCGCCCCCTGCGCCCCCTTGCCTACGTCACTGCAGCCACTGCATATAGGTCACGGTATCTCACTAAAATAGTCACTGCTCATTCTGGCATTGAAGAAATCACGCTGCCGAATAAATTAGCGCGTGCTCTCAAAATGGACGCCGTCCTCACTCCACTTGTCAACTAAAGGGCAACATGCACGATTTATCACCCATTCCTTTTGGATCAGTCTCAGAAGTAGGGACGGCCGCTTGGAGTGGCTTTGCGAAATCTGTCAAAATACTTCACCGAACCGTCCACAAATTATCAAGAAAGCCACGCAATTTAAAGCCCACTATGCAATGAACAAATCTCTATCGCTGATGGCAAATCCGTCGGCAAGCAGTGCCTCCACCTCAGTGGTCGCAAAACCTTGTTTATTTGTTTGCTAAGTTATTTAACTGGCTGAAACTTCTCACGAATCGACTAGCTTCGAAATTTTCAATCAACCCAAGTCATCTCGACCATCAGCGTCAAAGGACCGGCGTCAACCCGCCGCCGCCGTACAGCGAGCGTCCCCGCACCCACCTCGTGATCTTGCCGAGCTGTGGCTTCCTGATGACCGAGTACGTGATGGTGCGCGGGGTGCGCGGGTCGTTGGTGCGCACCAGCAGGTGTCCCTTGGTGATGGACTGCTGCATCATGGGAAACACGTGCAGCTGGGTGTTGGCGACAAGCTGGAGCCGCAGCCGCTCCACGCGCACCGAGCAGCTCTCGGGCGGCGTCTGGTGGACGCCGTCGCTGACGGTGACGCGCAGACTGCAGCGGCTCGCCTCTGCCGGCGAACAGGGGCGGCTGAGGTGCCGGAGACGCAGGGGCACGCCTCTGTCGGCGAACAGGGGCGGCTGAGGAGCCGGAGACGCAGCGGCACGCCAGGGCAACTCGGACACGGTGGAGACGCAGGGCACACTAGAGGCGACCCGGACACAGGTGCTGACGGAGACGCAGGGCACACCAGAGACGGCCCGGACACGGGCACCGGAGACACGGACCACACCAGAGACCGCACGACACAGGTAGTCACGGAGACGTAGGCCATACCAGAGACGACTCGGACACGGTCACCGGAGACGCAGGCCACACACCAGAGGCGACACGGACACGGGTAGTGACAGAGACGCAGGGCACACCAGACACGAACCGGACACGGGCGCCGGAGACGCAAGCCACACCAGACACGACACGACGCAGGTAGGAGCGGAGACGTGGGGCACACCAGACACGACTCAGACACGGCCACCGGGGACGCAGAGCACACCAGACACGACCCAGACACGGGCTCTGACGAAGATGACGGATGGACGTCCGCAGAAGGTGACCAAGGCGCAAGGAAAAACGAGTAAGCACGAGAAAAGCGATGAGGTCAGCTCGCTATGTTCGCGGGGAACAAGAATCAGCGCACACCAGACCAACAGCGATCGATGCTTCTTTCAGTATATACACACGACGCATTAACGATATTAATCGGGCCTCCTCTAACAACGTGAACGTGAACGTATTTCTCTAACATTATCTTTCTATAGCCCCTAACGCAAATGTGGCGTGGACCACCCCACCCGGGCCAAAGAAGCGCGTGGGTCGGCCAAGGAAGCGCGTCGGTCGGCCAACAGCGGGTCTAGAGTGCAATCTTAGAATAAGCCTGGTTCTATTACTGTCGAGAATTTCTAGACAGGCGTAACCAAATGGGAAGTTGTCTGCCTTTCACCACCTATCTTCGCTCTCCCTCCCACCAATGGCTCCCCATCCCCCTAAACTTGCTCTGCGCTTTACCACCTCTCTTCGCTTACCCTCCCACCAATGGCTCCCCATCCCCCTAAACTTGCTCTACGCTTGCAGCGGACAGTACCCAGCGTCAGAACGCGGATGGCGGGAGCGCGAGCGGTGGCTGGCATGGGAAATGACGGGATAAAAAACTAATTGTACAACACAAGGCAAGACATCATAACGCGTGGATCAAATTTGAATCAGTCCGTTTTTAGCACGCATTTGGCATGATGATTGTAACATTTTTGCTAAAACCAACGTCGATGGAACTAAGTTAACGCTAGGGATCATTTCTTTGTAGGCTTCTGTACATAACTCCATGCCACGATTTATTCTTCTTGATTTGCTTGTGATGTGATGTATGTGCTCCACTAATTGCTATTTGAACAGAATGCTGAATTCGAGAAAATGTTAGGGTCGAAAGGTTTACCTCAAGCAAGAATGCGTCTTTCGCACCAGTGCTTTTTCTTCGAGTGCGTCTCGATCGAACAGTTATTTGTGAATTTATTCCAGCACACGCGATCGACAGCTCAAACAACTCTTCCGGGCCACTAGGTCCGTACATCCTGCACTTTTCGCCCGCCCGGGGCTCAGGCATGGCAAAAAGGGGGTGCGCTACAAACGGTGTAAGGGATCACGGCAAACGACGCATACACTAGGGACCGACGGGGAGGACGAAGGCAACGGAACGATGGGGACACTTACGGTACAGGAGACGACGAAGACACGTGAGACTGACAGAGCCACGGCACGACTGAGACGTAGTGGACGACGGAACCACGCGAGTTGACGGAACACGCGAGACAACAAAGGTACGGAAGACGGACCAAGATCAAGAGACTGTTGCGGCTCACTTCCAAGTGTGGTTGGCATATTGCCGTGGAGAGCAGAAAGGCGACAAAAACTAATTGCTGGCAGAGACGCGTGAGACTGGTGAGGATATCAACGACTGATGGTGGCGGAATAGTCTAACCAAATGGAGGAACTAGTGAGAAGGGCTACCGAAACCACCGTGGACTGCTTCAGCCGCACTACCGCGGCGGCTTGCTTATACATCAGGCGGCGACCGAATCACAGATCTGACAGCTGCCCAGATCGACAGCCACGCCTGCGAGACTGACATTTTCCGTGTGGCCATCACATCCCGAGGCCAGATGGCCCAGCTGCGGGCGGCCGCCTCTGAGCCCGGCCGCCAAGGGCGACTGAGACGCAGTGCCTGCTCGACTGTCGGCCGTCAATACTCTCGGACAATGCCGCCAGCCGGCCACGCTCGCTCGTCGATCTGTGCAGATGGGACCCGAGGGAGGGCGCCGGCCAATCGAGCCCATACCCTCACCGTCCCTGCCCTCCTGCCGCAGCCGGCGCGGCGATAACGGCACGGTGTCAAGAGACACGGGCGCGGCCTGGGGTAGTGGAGTCTGTATTAAACTGTGCACCGTCGCCCAGCTTCTTGCTACCAGGGCTTCAACCTAATAATAATAAGTCGCTGACAGAATTTGTTACTACTCACGTAGGAAGCCTTGCTTGTACCGTGTCATTGGCGGCTGTGGCTGAGGGCCAGCTTTGAGCAGCTGCGCTCTGGAAGATCGCGACCACGTACGACGGCAGACAGGACCAGGGCGAGAGGACACGCCCGTAACATGACGGCTGGCGGCCGGGTCGGCCCCGTCCGGGAAGCATTCTGATGCTGCCGGTGAACGAGTGCCGTAAATTCCGATATCTCATTAGAGGAGCGCCTCCCACCAAAGCGGTCAATTAGTCGGCTCGAGGCGGCGAAGGAGCCGTCTGGTGCCTCGAGGGCTGGCCGAAGCGCGGCGCACCCGACCCAGCGGGGGCCTATGATCAACGGGCAAGGGGGCTTACGACCGACAGGCTGGGTGCTCTGACCGACTGGCTGGGTGCTCCGACCGACTGGCTGGGTGCTCCGACCGACTGGCTGGGTGCTCCGACCGACTGGCTGGGTGTTCCGACCGACAGGCTGGGTGCTCCGACCGACTGGTTGGTGCCGACTGGATGGTGGCTTCGACTCTTACCCCCCCCCCCCCCCAGGGGGTCTCGGTTCATAAGGATGTTACAGACCCCACCTTGAAACAAGCTGGCTTTGTTCGGGAACTCCAAGCCACGACTAATTCTGCCCACTCGGCCAGGTGTTTGGTGGCTTCCGTTGTTCGCTGGGTGTTCCCACCCAAAGTCAGACCTGAGTCGAGTCGACCTGGCTGAATATCCTGACTAATGGCTATAGCCATGCTACAAAATTTATGGAAAAATGCTATGACATTGAGCCCGACCTATCTGGGTGTCTGGACTAACGAGAAGCATTTCTTCTGATCCTTCAGTGTGTTTCGGAACAGCACTCATTCACTTGGGTATCGGACAAAGAGAAATTGGAGGCGGGTAGACGGTGCTATCTGTACAGTGTCGTTGAGCTCTAGAATGGTTCACTTCCGGAATTTCGCGCTCTGTCACTTACGTTTTTCAAGTGTGAACTGTGCCATCATTTGGCTGGAACTTGATGAACATGTGTGTTTGTGCGTGTGTTGTGTACCTGAGGCTGGTTTTGTGTGTGGCTTTTATGTATTCCTGAAATGTGTTTTGTATGTGTGTCTTTAGTGTATTCCTGAGGTTTGTGTTTTGTATGCGCGCCTTCGATATATTCCTGAGGTGTGTGTTTTGCAGGTGTGCCTTTGCTATATTCCTGGGTTGTGCTTTGTGTGTATGCCTTTGATGCATCCCTGTGTGATTGCTGCTACGAGTGTCATTAACACGTCTCTCCTCTAATCCTTATCAAATTGACTTATCGCAAAATAGTAATTTTATGTTTCTCAGTGTTTTAAATGTCAACATAACGATCCCATTCTGTCCAGCACGGCTGTTTGAAGCGGGCGTAAAGAACACCGAGAGCAGGCGAAAGAGACTGAACTGTGGCGAAGAGGCCTGAACTAGTAGCTTTTAATGACAGCTCGAATGTTAGCATTGCGCCAATTTAAGTGGAAGTTGTGCTGGCAGCCGCCCGCCTGTCACACACATTCTCCACCAATGAGCCTCGCCGGCGACGGCGGGCTGACCCACCTCAGCGTGGCAGGAGGTCCGGGTCCCCACTAACCTCGCTGGGTGTGGCTGAAGACGACCTGGCCGCCGGCCAGCTGACTGCGTGACAGGAGGTCCGGGTCCCCACTGACCTGGCTGGGTGTGACTGAAGACGACCTGACCGCCGGCCAGCTGACTGCGTGACAGGAGGTCCGGGTGTCCACTGACCTGGCTGGGTGTGGCTGAAGATGACCTGGCCGCCGGCCAGCTGGCTGCGCGTGAAGTTGGAGACCGGCACACCCGGCTCCGACTGGAGGCTGACGTTGCCGCACTCGGAGCGGGTCACGGAGAAGGTCAGGTCCACTGCCGGCCGGTCGGCGTCCACCGCGTCTGCAGGGCAAGGTGCAGTCAGGGCGCCAGGTCCACAGCACGCTTGCACCTCGCGGCGCTGGCAAAGCAGGTCAAAGTCAACATTGAGGGCGGTGCCTGCACAACATAAAATGATGGTCATGACAGTGCTTGTGAAAAAACACAGGGACTGCGTTCACGCGTCCTCTTCAGCCAATGGCAAGCTATATCAATCACGGGGTTTGTGGACTTTGTTTCCGATGGGAAGGCGATCAGTTTCCAGGAAAGTTGGGCTGCAAAAAATGCAATCGCAGTAATGCAGCCGACCCCGCAGTTACAAAGAGAGGCATGCCACATCAGGCGGCGGGCATGGCAATGCGCCTCTCTGGCTTGGAAGCAGAATCTTGGCAAGGGCAGCCATGTCACAGTGCTACAGCATATCAACGGTCAATACCGATTTCAGCTCTTGACTCACAAGACTGGGCCAGACTTCTCCCCAGCTTGATTGTCTTGCTGGTGTGAAGGAGACAGGCTAGGATGGTGCTGGGACTGTTTGAAATGGCAAGTTGTGTGTATCACCAATTGCCGACGAACATTATCGCCGCTCTACCTGAGAAACGCGAGCGCCCGCAACACGACGGCCGTCGCGCAATTTAATGATACCCACACTGCCTCCGAACAGAATCCCAGCACACCAAAACCCCTGCGTATCATTAGAAGCGAGAAGAGAAGGGCCGACTCCCGCTCGCGGTGCCGTCCCTTCAGTCTTCACGCTCCTTCAAACGGCAGATGCACCGACACTGCTGCGCTGCTCAACACCTCCGGTGCATGGCAGCTTTGGACCCAGGATTGGAAACATCTTACGAATATCGAGACTCAATACCCATATGATCGAAATTCAAACTTAAACAACACCTTACTGGCGTGGTCATTCACATGAAGACCAAAAATGTCATGTTCTAAGCCGTTCCCTCTACCATAAGACCAGAATTTCAATGCTGCATGAAAAAACCGTATAATTCCGATCTTACGCGAGCTGAGTCAAGGTAAACAACTCAATATTGATCTGAGAGGTGACGATGTGACAATTACGCGGGTAGCTTCCAGGCATAACTTAGTCAAACCAAACGATTCGCATGAGATTTTCCAACGAACGCAGGGACCTGAGGGATGACCTAGTGACGTCACTAGGTGCGGTGTACGCCGCCGGCCGGAGACGACTGTAAGTGTGGGCTGGGGCGGCGGCGCACGCCTGGCCGGTCTCAGCTGGTGGGTCGCGAGACTGGGCCGTGGGTCGTTGGTTCGCTGGCGGTGAGGACTGCTCAATTTTCTCAGGCGGAGGCACTTAGATTCAAGCGTTCCGCTTTTACGCCAATCCAACCAACATATCATGTCATGCTACATCCTGCTCATAACCGGAAATAAACAACAAGCAGCGGAACCGAAAACAGACCTCCAACCGAGGCATTAGTATTTGCAAGACAAAGACGGCCAACTGCCGACGACTGCGCGAGTCGTGACTGAAGGACGGTACAGAATAACTTTCCACTTTCTACTGCTGCCAAGTCGCCTCCCTTTCGACCCACTTCACACACGCACGAGGAAAATATTTTTCCCTCAAGCGCAGCGGAAAAGATTCGAACCATGTCGTGTTAATCTAGCGTTTCCACCGTTGCGGCGGTGGCGCTTCGCCTCTCACATAAGTGTCGGCGAGGAAATCTGTGGGCAAAGTTGCGGGACATTTTGGCGTTTGGAGTGGCGGCTGGTTCGCCGGCAGCGACGCCGACACCCCTCCCCCTCCAGCGGGGGTGTCGTCGAAGCCGACGGCGGGCGCCACACCGCATGAGACGCCCGGGCGCTTAGTACGGCCCACCCGAGTGACGGTCCAACCAGCGCCAGCCAGGGACTCCACGGGCTGACGAGGGGGTAAGGGAGGCCCGAAACGTTCAACGGAGTCAATAATTCCATAATTCAAAACTATACAGGTTAGAGAGACTGAGTGGTGTGCCTGGAGGCATATGACCAAGAAAGAAAAACGCGGCATACAACGGTATTCCGGTATCACCTCGTTGATGATTAGATTTTTGCAGGCACGTGTTTGCGGAACAGCGCGAAGCCCCAGCGCCCTTACGCGTGCGTCACTGGCGGCTGACCTCGCACGACCGACGGGTCAGAAGGTCAGAGTCTGCGGGGCGGAGGCCGGGCCAGCAGCCGCAGCGTCTGTGTCTTCTCGAGATGGCCCATCGAAGGGGGCGGGGGCTCGTCTCTCGGAGAGATAATGCAGATCTGATAGCTTCATTGGAAGATAACTCCATCTGGAGATGAATAGCTTTGGCTGGCTTTCGAATTCATCGCTGGGCACGGGAAGCGGGGGCGATTGGTGCAGCGGTCCGGAGCCCAGTGATCGAAATCCTCTGCTGCTGCCGGTATTTGCTTACGCATACGCAGGAACATCAGAAAAGAGTAATGATCTCCGTCCGACCGTCATACCATTTTTAATGATCGTGGTCCTTGTACAATGCCCTTCATTCCTCCTAGATGTTGCACATTAAGGTGTTATGCTATGATTATGGGTGCATAGTTTTTCAGTTAGTTTTCCCGCTCGCCCGTTCGTCTTACTGCCAGACAGACCTTGCAGCCCGGCCCTCCCAACTTGACAGAGCCCTCTCAGATTAGATGCGCTGCTCAAGTAAATCCTAACAATTCGAGAACAAAATGCACTGTGAGGTGATATTTGGATTCCGCCAGGCCAAACCAAGTACCTTCTGCAAACTGAAATGCATGAAATCCGATGAGAAACTAGCATTAGGGGCACCCTAAGCTGATTGACCCGCGGCAAAGCTCCCATCCCAATTCATTTCGAGCATCAATACTCTTGAATGATGCCTTTCTTAACGCCGAGATGCTATTGTGGATATCTGGGTTGCGCACACAAGGCTGACTTGAAACGTCACGCTTACGAGCGGTCACCACGCAGGTAATGAGCACAGTGCAACAAGAGAAGCCTGCCAGTCGCCACAGGACGCGGCCAGTAACTGCCGTCAGTCACTGCCGCCAGTCACTGCCGCGCCAGTCGGTCACTGCAGATGAGTGGCCGGCTCTTCTGGCCCGACCCGCCAGACCGTGGGGCAATGCGGTACAGCCTACCTAACCACCACGCCCGCATGTAAACAGCGCCTCATCAGTCCGTGCTCACGGCCCCGCGAACTGCGCTCTGCTCCACCCTGTCTCGGTCTTGCGTCCGGGTCACGCGCTCCGGGCTTTCCGCCTGGTGTCGCGCCCTCTGCCGTTGGGCTCTCCGCTCGGCACGCCGCATTCGCCGCCACCAGGAGCTTGGCGCGCCACGTTCGCCGCCACCAAGAGCTTGGCGCGCCACGTTCGCCCCCGCCGAGAGCCTGGCGAGTCACGTTCGCCGCCACCGACAGCTCGGCGCGCCGCCTCCGACAGCTCGGCGCACCGCCTCCGACAGCTCGGCGCACCACCCTTCGATCCCGTCGCGCTAACCGGGCGCCGATAGCGCATGCAAATCAGCTGGCGGCTGCGGCCGACGCGCCTACTAATCTATGAATGGCCCAATTACCGGCGCGACACAGTGCCCATAATCGGAGCCACTTCTGCTCCACTGGGTGGCGCGGGGGCAGGGCGCGGCAGAGTGAAGTGACTGCTCAATATGCTGCGCTAAAGGCCGAGGCAAACGTCGCTATGGAGGCTGAGATGGAGTCGTTATAGTGATATGATGTAATTAACACACCAAGCCGACATAATGAGGAATGATGAAAACTTGGGCAAAGAAATTGAACAAAATGAGGAATGATGAAAACTTGGGCAAAGAAATTGAACAAAGTTTACGCCAATGGTTTGTTAAGGATAGTACTTAACTCGGCTCGTGTCCTGTCATGCTTTTCATGTGCACGCACGAATGTTCGTACATCAATGCAAAGCACGAATGTTCATACATCAGTGCAAAGCACGAATGTTCGTACATCAATGCCAAGTTGAACAGTCTATTGTCCTCCACTTTTTGACCCTGCAAGTCGCCAGTGATCGATAAACTTGACGCGTTGACTGAGGCAGAAGCCACGCGGGAATTTGTTGGCCCCGCGCGACAAAGCAGAGGGGAGTGGAGATATTTTTCCGTCGCCAAACAATGTGTGAAAAGAATCGTTTTCTTTGATGCCTCTCGCAAAAAGCTCTCCATGTGGCGGCCCGGCGACGCTTTTGTTCGGGCTGGCCTGTCGTACGCGCCGGAGCGCCGGAAAGAAGTTCCCATCAGAGGCGAAAACACAGACGCTGCTTTCGGCGGGCATCAGCCACCGACGATCCCGCGAGATGGCGTCCTAAAGTACACTCATTTTACTCATCTGCCTTCAAATGATTTAAAAGGATTGCGAAAACATGTTCTGGTCGAAAGTTTTTCAAATATCCTAGCTAATCCAGCATGCGTGATTTGCGGCTCATAAAAAAGACATTTCGGCAGTAAACAGCCGGCGGATGCCTAGCGTGCCGTGCACCTCCAAACAGCCTCCACAACCTCAATAATACGCTCGCTCGTCGCAGACGGGGAACTTTGCGCCCCAGGAAACTAAATAAGACTTGGAGAAAGCAGGCCACCACGAAAAAAACGTTATCAGATTTGGACCACGACTTTGATGAGTTAAGAGGAGCGTCCCACGACGGTGGTGGCATGAGGTCACCCACTATTCATCGACTTCAGTCGTTCACCTCAATAAACCACGCGCCGGCACCGTACCATTTTAGCGCCCTCGAGATTACACCACTTTCATCTGTATTCCAGAGCGCTGCGCACCGCGCGAGGTAGCGGCCGCCGCGTATAACACAGGTCCGTCGCCTCCGCATGATTCGTCGCCACACATGTAATAGGAATGCACGACAATGGGCAGATCCAGTGCTGACCGAGGACGTACCAAGCTGACCGAGCACGCACCGAGCTGACCGAGGACGTACCGAGCTGACCGAGAACGTACCGAGCTGACCGAGCACGTACCGAGCCGACCAAGGACGTACCAAGCTGACCGAGCACGTTCCCAGCTGACCGAGGACGTACTGAGCTGACCGAGGACGTACCAAGCTGACCGAGGACGTACTGAGCTGACCGAGGACGTACCGAGCTGACCGAGGACGTACCGAGCTGACCGAGGACGTACTGAGCTGACCGAGGACGTACCGAGCTGACCGAGCACGTACCGAGCTGACCAAGGACGTACCAAGCTGCCCGAGCACGTACCGAGCTGACCGAGGACGTACCGAGCTGACCGAGGACGTACCGAGATGACCGAGGACGTACCGAGCTGACCGAGGACGTACCGAGATGACCGAGGACGTACCGAGCTGACCGAGGACGTACTGAGCTGACCGAGGACGTACCAAGCTGGTCGGTGGTGATGGCCACGGCGCCTCCCTCCACCACCACCAAGCCGCTGTTATTGACGAGGCTGGGCGGATGGTCGTTCACGCCGGTTATGACGAAACAGAGCGGGCCCGGAGCTGACGTCTTGGAGTCAGCGCTGACCACCAGCGTCAGGCAGTCCTTGCGGGACTCGTCCCCGCTGTGCACATACTGAAAACGGTCAGGTCAGGTCAGGTCAGGTCAGGGGTCTGACTGTGACGACAGGTCAGGTCAGGGGCCTAACGGTGATGGCAGGTCGGGTCAGGGGTCCGACGGTGACGACAGGTCAGGTCAGGGATCTGACGGTAACGAGAGGTCAGCTCAGGTCATGGGTCTGTCGAAAACGGCAGATCAAGTCAGAGCCCTGACGGTGATGAAAGAACGGATGCTTAACGATAACGGTTAACATCGTCGCTTGAACGTATGAGAGGGTCAAAGCGCCTGACACTACCTGTTCCTTACCCGCGGCCCTTCGGGAACGTGTACAATGGCACAATGAGCGATGTATCAGCGTGGTAACGGTTAGGGCGGAAGATGCTCGGGAGCGGTGTAGTGAGGCTTTGCATGGCGCAGCTGCGCTCCGTTGCAGGTGGTGGCATTGCCTATTACAATTTGTGGATGTGAGGCGGCGAGTCGGTGGAAGAGGTCCTGAGAAAGTATTAGGAACCTAGCGATTTAGAACACCGATGAATTATGGCTACAGTAGGGGAAGAGCGAAATTGTCAGCACGAGTATGAGAACGACGTGGCGAGCATATCGCTGTGCAATGCCCTAAAACCCGGCAAGAACTGACCTTCACGCTGAATAGCTGTGCTCAGACTCAGCGTCAAGGGTCTTCAAAGGACGCAGCGGTCCACAGGGGTCAAATGGGACGTTTACAAGCCTTCAAATGGCGTTGTAACGCGGCTGCAGCACCGTTAAGGCAACACCAGGAAGATCAAATGCGTTGTGAGCATCGCCCGACGGAGGTCAAGTTTGCCATGCCCGGAGCGCGACGTTTGACATATACACCACACCATAAACAATATCCGACACCATACAGGATCGCCGAGTTCGGTACCAGACAGCTAGACAGTTTCACTGGGTTCAGCAGCAAGCACCAGACAGATACGCCGGACTCAGCAGCTGTTACCACAGATTTACCGGACTCGTCAGCCGTCATCAGACAGATTCACCTGGCTCAACAGTTGGCAGCAGACATATACGCCGGGCTCAACAGCCGCCACCAGGCACACTCACCTGGCTCGACAGCTGGCAGCAGACATATACACCATGCTCAACAGCTGCCACCAGACACACTCACCTGGCTCGACACCCATCACCAGACAGAGTCTTCAGGCTCGGCAGCCGTCCCCAGACAGATTCTTTGGGCTCAGCAGCCAGCACCAGACGCATTCACTAGACTCGGCAGCCGGCGCCAGACAGGTTCTTCGGGCTCAGCAGCCAGCACCAGACAAATTCACTAGACTCAGCAGCCGGCGCCAGACAGATTCACTAGACTCGGCAGCCGGCGCCAGACGGGTTCTTCGGGCTCAGCAGCCAGCACCAGACAAATTCACTAGACTCGGCAGCCGGCGCCAGACAGATTCACCACTCGCAGGCGGCGCGGCGACCGATTTCACCAAACCCCATGCAATAGGACGGCGGGCCTGGCGCGGCGTCGTGCTCGGCGTCCAATGCCAAACACATCGGCCCAATAAAGCCGGCAGCCTCCGGGGAGATGGTCCCACAGAATTGGCCCGGGTACGAACGCATTCCGCGCCGACCGACGCTAATGCCGTCAGGCGACCGTTAGCGCGCCGGAAGCAGCGGCCGCGGTGGGAGGCCGCTTCAGCTCTCGTCTGTGAGTTCAGCAACAGCAAAGGCTCAGTCGAGTTTGTATGCGTCCAAAAGAAGCACGCGCGTCCAGTTCGAGGCGTTTTCAGCTGCACAGTTGTGGACCTTACTGGGAAGGCTGGTATCCTCTAGCGCTTAGCGGGTCGAAACGTCCTTCAGACTCATTAATCTGGGCTAATGTGCTAAGTTCATTTCGTCTCATTAGTAGAACTTCCCGGTATTGCAGCTTATAATGCCAATTTGGACGTTATTAGTACAAGGGCGCAGATGTGCTGATGACTCATTACTAGATCCAGACAAAATTTAAGCAGATGACGAAAGATGAATAACATAAGCAATGCTCAATCCACATCTGTTTGGCGACGTTGAAATGAATGGTCGTGAGACAGACAGCAGACGGAGCAAGCTCAGTGCTCAAGAAGTCAACCAACGGATCTAGGATGACAATGTCTGGCATCGCATGTACGCTCAACCAATAGCAAAACTAACCTTCGGAATAAAGTAAAGGGTATGCTATTGCTCGCCCCAATTATATCAACATTTGTTATTTCGTCAAAGCCCGTGACATTTCATATTATGCGGCCTCGCCTTCTTTCCCAGGTTCTGGGGTCCTGTCTTCTTTCCTTCTTTTTCTCTGTACGCAATGACGACACCGTACTAAAGTGCAAAGCATCGTTTCCAAACTATCTCTGGTTTTGTGGGTAACTATTTAGTCACTGACAATTACTAAAATGTCCGATCGCTTCGTGTCCTGCCGCCTTATAGTTCATGTGAAATCGTAGAAGCATAACTACATGCGGCGGAACCCCGTTTACAAAGCAGGACGGGGTCAAAGCTTGCATTTAGATCGTAAAAAACAAATGGTTAGTTTGAATTAATTACCAGGCAGTCAAATATGAAAAAATTGTTTTTGATGTCATAACAGAGGTGAAATATCGAGGGCCATTGAGAGAAGACCAGCCCTTTTCGACAGGTGAGCGCGTGCAAATATTTCCATGCCAAGCCATTTTGGGGCGGCTAAAAGTCGAGGTAGAGTTTTGCGTTAATTTCTGCGTTAAGTTCTGTGCTGAAGTTGTATGGAGGTAAAATCAGGTGCTGAACAGTGCTCCTCTGAGAAGAATGGGTATTGAAGCATGTTATCCTTCCGCCAGATATGACAATCGGAGTATATTGCTTCTACCGTGAGCGCTTGATGATCCCAGATTATATCACACTCTTTTGTCGGTGAGATCTCATAACCAGCCTCCGTTTGTCGGGGGTGGACGGGCTCGACAGCCATTAACCTTTAAAGTTTGGCAAACTTGGACCGACGGCCGACGGCGAGCGACGCACTGCACCCCTGCATCGGCCCGGCGCCGGGTTTATAGCCCTGACGAGATAGCTGGCGAGGGGAGGGTAGGGTCGTGAAGTGACACCAGGGACTCTTCGAGCCAGCACGGGCCATCAGTCTTGGCCATGGTGCAGGCCACACGCCTGTCGGACAGGCCGCCGAATACTGGGCCGACAGGCCTTACATTCGACTTCGGCAGCGAGAGGACGGCGGGACACGCTGGACTTCTGTCCTGGCAGCGCCGGCTGTACGACACACGGGCGGCACGCTTCGATCCAACAGATATCCAACATCTGACGGACACGCCACAATCAGGCGCGACATTGGGGATATGTGAAAAATAACAAGATGCCTACGCCTTTAACTGCAGCCTTAATACTCGGTCTGTCTGCCACACGTAAACACATCAGCGAGCAAAACTCTGAACCATGCTAAGTTTCCGCCACCAATCCATTCCTCGAACATTGTTGCGTTAATCTCATTTCCGTGACATGTCATACCTATGTCTGACGTGTGAGAAAGATACTGTTTAATGCATATCACGCAACAAACAAGTTCGCAATGTAAAAAAGCACGGAGTTCTAGGCCGCGTTTGTCTAAGCATCAGAAAGAGATTCATCGTGCAATCAAGTGATCCTGTGCATTTCTGACCAACAGCTTACGCCATACGGTGAAACCGCTCGCCTCAAAGCTTAACATTGATTTAACCTGAGTGGACATTCCTTCACCTAAGCTTAGAAATACGACGAATCTAGCTACACTAAGAAAAAAACAAACAAAAAACGACGTTAGCTACAATGGAGCTAGCAGCTCGCCCGCAGCAACATCCCAGCATCTCCAAAGTTACACAAATCAGCATCTGGCCAAATTTTCTGCGAACTGAACTCCTTGTCTCTCGGCTGAAGATTTTTATCTCAACGACATAAATTCAATTTCTTCGGCGTCGTGCGGCTTCAAAGGCATCGGCGCTATCGTAGAATGGCAGCTTCGTCAGAAGCTCCCTTCCGGTGATAAATCTATACGGGATCTCATTAACGGCTCGCGAGCCGCCGTCCGGACCAACCGAGCGCCGTCCATTGTTGGAAGTCGGCCTGGCGCGTGCCGGCGGTGAACCCAGGGGCCCCTCTTCCATTTACTGCGAACCTGGTCCAGCGCTGGGAACACATCCGGACTCAGTGCCTTTGTCGCGCTTGAAGCCGAAAATGGCATGACACGTTAGCTTGCCGGAACGTGTATGGATTTTGATAGCGGCGAACAGCGAGTGCCTTCGGGATTTTCGGGACATTCAGCCGACAGGGGATAAGTGAACGTGCAAGATTCAGGAGTTATTTGAAGGACAACAAAAAGCTTCGCTAAGTTTCAAGTTCGGAGCACACCCACACACACAGCGGTATAAGGCACACGACCTCGTCATACTCGTACGGAAAACCATGTCACACTCTCCAACTCGTCACACTTATCCGAACACGTCCGCTATACTCACCCAAACAAGCTGGTCCCACTCATCGGCCCAAGCCCGCCACACTGACCAATGCAATACCGCCACACTCGCCCGCACGAGGCCGTTACATTCCCCCGCACGAGGCTGTTGCACTCAGCCGCACGAGGCCGGTACACTCACCCGCACGAGGCCGGTACACTCAGGCTCACGAGGCCGGTACACTCACCCGCACGAGGCCGTCGGCCAGCTGTTGGCTGGAGAAGCGCAACAGCTGGTGGCCGTGCTGCTCCGCCAACTGGAGGCGGCCGGAGCGCGGTGGCTCGAGCACCCTGAAGCCGCTGACGCGCTGTCGGTAGTACCTGCTGGCGACGGTGAGCGCGCGAGGCGTGAGCGCCACCTGGCCACCCTCGCTCAACGTCAGGTTCCACGTGACCAGGCGCACCTGGCGCGACTTCACCAGCACGTCAAACTGCAGTCCCGACATGCTGACGATGCCGTTGGTCACGGTGAAGACGAAGCGGTCCTCTGTGGCGTTGGCCACCGACTGCACGTAGGTGAGGTTGCCGTCGTTGATGAAGGCCTGGTCGAAGGTGACGACCTTGGGCCGGGCGTCGGGTCCCCGCAGCATGAGGAAGCCGTACGTCGGGCCCTTCGTGACGGTGAAGCGGATGTCACCGGGCGCCACGTTGGGGTGCATCACGTGCAGCAGCGACTGCGACACTGTTACCATGTCGCCCTCGGGCACCAGCGCCGACCGGTTGTTGACGACGCGCAGCGGCTCCCAGTAGCTCTCCGGGTATATGCGAAAGCTCAGCGACCCGTTGGAGGCGAGCTTCCCGACTCGCACCTCGAATCCCACCGAGTCCTGCGCGCCCGACGCCTCGCTCGCCTCGTACTCCACGGCACCCTGCTGCACGTCCTGGAAGGAGAACTCGGCGGGCCGGCTCACCGCGCACGCGTAGTCGGCCGCGCTGCGGCGGCGCCGTCACGTGGAAGCGCACGTTCTCGTCGGCCACCTCGACGTTGGTCTCAGGCCGGAGCCGGTCGGCCGTCACCTGCTGCGAGTCGCCGCGTGGTACGGTCAGCGGCGCCGCCGAGCCGTTCAGCCGCACGAACGGCTCGGCGGCGGCGATCTCGAGCACACCGGTCGTGTAGTGCGCGCCGTCTGACACCCAGAGCACGACGCGCGAGCGGTCGACGCCGCCGTGCTGGAACACCAGCCGGTCAGCGTCGATGTCGGCCTGCGTGAAGCCAAACACCTCCGTATTGTAGTCGGGGTGCAGGTAGAGCGCGCCGTTGGGGATGCCGCGGCGCGTGTAGGAAATGTCGGACGGCTCCGTGTACAGGTCCGGGTCGGAGAAGGTGAGCTGCGCCGGGCGCACGGCGCGCCGCCCGCCGCGAACGACGTACAGCGGCCGCGCTGCCGTGCGCCGCGGCGCGTTGTCGTTGCGCATCACGACCAGCACTTCGGCAACGCCCACGTACTGGAAGTCGTCGTCCGGGTTAAGCGAGGTGGCAACGAACCCGAACGCGTCGCTCGGGTTCTCCGAGTCGTCGTGCGCGTACAGCACGCGGCCGGCGGCGATGTCCTGCGAGGTGAAGTGCGCGAGCGCGGCGCGCCGCTCGCCGGCCGCGCGCAGACCGCCGTGCGCCGGCGGCTCCGTCACGTTGTAGAACACGGTGGCAATGCCGTCGATCTCGATGCTGAGCTGCCGCGGCATGATGGCCACTGCGTCTCCCTCGCCCACCTCGATCCGCTTGATCGAGATCATGCCCTTGGGCGCCGGCGGCACGTGGCGCATGTTGAACTCGTGCACGGGTGACTCGAAGCCGGGGATGTGCACGCGGAAGCGGAACAGGTCCGTGAACGCCGAGTAGGACTTGCGGTGCAGGCGGTAGACTACGCGGCCGGCGTCGACGGTCGCGCTGCGAGAAGGAGACGCCAACTGGCAGCGCCTGGCGTCGCGCCGGGCTGCCCTCCAGCCGGAACAGGTCACCGAAGCGCGGCGTCGACGTCACCACGAAGGAGAGGTTCTCTGCCGGCTGGGGGAACGGCCGCGGCTCCGCGTACAGGAAGTCGCGCGTGACGGCCGCCTCTTGCGTGCGGTTCAGCACCAGCTCGCGGTTGGTGACCAGCTGTACCGAGACGGTGAGGAACTGGATGCGGAAGTCGTGCACAGCCGGCTGCGTGGCGTCCTGCAGCACCACCTGGAAGCGGAAGCCGTCATGGTCGGGAGTGCCTGTCGTGTGCCGGTAGCGCACGCGGCGCCGCTTCAGGTGCCGCATGGTGAAGTGGCTGGTCGGCTGCCAGTGGCCGTTACCGCGCAGCTTCTGCACCTTGCCGCTCTGCGTCTGCTTCACGATGACAAACTTGATGCCAACCTGCTCGTCCTGCGCGTTGGTGGTGAAGCTGAGATTGGCGGTGGTGATGAGCGCGCTGGATCCATGCGTCACGCGCAGGCCGGTGTTGTTGACGGCCACCGCCTCCAGGCGGAAGGTGACCACGCGCAGCAACGTCGTCTCGCTGGTGGCCTGGCCGTCGGAGACGCGCAGCGCAAGCCGCGTGTCGCCGCCACCGCCGCCGTGCACGAACAACACCTGACCGTCGTCCACCTGCTCCTGCGTGAACGAGTCGACCGGTTCGTCGGGCCGGCGCGCCAGCTCCAGGTGGCCATCCACCTCAGCCGGGCTGAGCAGCGTGAAGACGAGCTCGCGCGGCCGGCTGTCCGGGTCCTGGGCGTGCAGCACGTCGGCGCCCAGCGTGCGGCGCGTGCCCGCCGCCAGGCGCACGGCGTTGCCCGGCGGCAGCTGCAGCCGCGGCGGGTCGTTCACCGGCGTCACCGCCACGTGCAGCACGAACTTGTGGCGCGCCTGCAGGTAGGCGGGCAGCGTGAAGCCGGCGCGCGCGAACAGCTCGAGCTCGAACACGACCACGTCCTGTCCGCTCTCGGCGCCGCCGTGCAGGTAGCGCACGCGGTCCGAGAGGAGGTCGAGCAGCGTGAAGACGGACTCGTCCGGCCTCCGCCACACATCCACGCTGATCACGCCCTGCTTGGGTGGCTCGCGCACGTGGAAGAAGACACCCGAGTCACGCACGCCGTACTTCTCGTAGTCGAGCACCAGCTGGACGTTGGCGGTGGTGAGCAGCGCCTCGCCGCCCTCCAGCACCGCCAGCGGTGACAGCGACAGCAGCTGCAGGCCGGCCGGCAGCCGCGCGTCGGTGAACACGCCGTACTGACTCGTGAAGTCGGCACGCACGCACACCGGCTGCTCGCAGTCGCAGCGGAATTCGGCTACGCCCTGCGGCACGCACACGCCGCCGGACACGCACGGGTCGCGAAGGCACGGGTACTCCCAGACGCACTCGGCCTGCACGCCCAGGCTCTCAACCACGCTCGGCAGGCCCGTCAGCACGTCGTCGACGAAGAGGTTCTGCACGCAGCCGCGCAGGTCCACCGGAATGTCCTCGATGCCCTGCTTGGCCGCACGGATGCGGTTCTTCTCGCTCAGACCGCCGACGAAGAGGTTTGACGCGAATGCCTGGAAGTTGGTGCCGTTGTCGGGCTTGACGCTGGTCAGCGTCTGGTCGACACTCAGCTCGACGTACTCAACGCCGACCGTCAGCTGCGCCTTGTGCCAGACGCCGTCGTTGACGGCCACCTTGCTGTCGAGCTGCACGCGCCGTCCGCCGGCCTCCAGCCTCAGACGCAGCCGGCCGTCGCGCAGCGTCGCCATCACGTGGTCGCGGCCACGCCGGCCCGCGTCGTTGTAGACGATCAGGCCGTCCGCGGCGGCCGTCTTCAGGTCGAGCCGAAGGGTGCCGCCGGCGTGCGGCAGCAGCGGCGGCAGCATAGCGAACGCGTGCTCGCCGACGAAGCTCAGCGACACGTCGGCGTCGGCGTCAAACTGTTTGTCGCAGCCCCAGGTGACGCCGAAGGCGGTGCCGCGCTCGCGCGCCGTCGGGAACAGCGGCACGTCGTTGAAGCGGACCTGGTGCAGGCAGCCGCGGAAGTTGTCCAGCAGGCCCAAGAAGATCTCTGAGAAGTCGCCCATCCCACCGATGAACACGCCGTAGTGGATGTTTAGCTCGTAGAAGCGACCAGGGAGCTTTATTCTGAAACGGACGAGGACTCGTGAGAGCCATCTGTCGGCATGCGATGCTAAATTAATGGTTAAGGAGCGCACGTTTGCGATGTTATCACGATAACGAGCATTGCCTGGTTCTCTGCAAGTTAACGCTCAAGCGGTTTCCATCAACAATGCAATCGGAAATGCCTGTAGCATGCCACTGAATCGACAAGCAATCGCAACCATTCATGCATGCAGCCATTCAACTACTGGCATCGGAGATCACTTTACAGTGTGCTGTGCGTATCTGCGATGCCGTTTAAATTATCCGAATATTCGTGCGTTATCGTGAAATCGATTGCCGTTGACCTTTGGCTATAATTAACCCAGCAAACAGCGGCACATTATGCAATATCTTACAAAGTATTATAACGAATCATCGGTGCCTGCAATTTTCATCCCTCTCCAGCACGAAACAATATATTAGCCAATTCGCTTGGAAAATTCAACACGAAAGGCGGCCCCAGCCATACATTTCGCTGGCAGTGACAGGAGATCCGCCCGGCGCGAGTCGTTCTGGCTTCATTAGCCGGTTTTAGCGCCAAGCGCCTCAACTCGGTGGCCGCCGAGCGGTCCCCGGGCGGGCGCTGGCCGACCCGGCCCGCAGCTGACCTGCTGACGTGTACGCCGTCGATGGTGAGGGCGACGTCGGCGTCCTTGCGCTGCACGTCGACGACGTGCCAGAGTAAGTCGTCCAGCCGGCGGTCGGGAGGAGACGTCACCTCCCCCTCACCGGCGCCCAGGTTGATCCGGACCTGGAACCAGCCGGCGAGGCGAGTGAGCGGCGACTGTGGCCGGGGACAGGTGGAGGTGCTGGGGCCACGCTGGCAACGCCAGCCCCATGTGATGTGGTGCGATGTGGTGTAATTATGGTGGGATGTGATGTGTCGTTTGCTGGGCGAGGAGCGCGCGAGAGTCATCACTATCATTGTTGTACACCCCGCATAATGCACATGGCCTGTATAAAGTGAACTGTGATCTGGCATGGAAAATACGGAACACACCAAATCATCTTAAACATATATTTTTGCAATTACCGGTACAGGTACGTCATTTTTGATACACACTGGGGTACGAAGAGTCTATCTCGCGAAATGGGATGTCATCTCAACACCCGTATATTTGTTTCAACGTCATGTTTCTACTTGTAACTTTAATCTTAACACTCAGGTGGTTACGTGCCGAATGAACAAATTCACTCGGCCAACAGCGACGTAAAATACCAAAGATGTTGGATGAGCAAAGCTTGTTCTGCTGGCATTACTGCTAATGGATACAAATATTTACGATGCCGTGGTTATCTATAACACTTTGTTTTCTGTTTGCCACTACTAGCCCTCACGCTGAAACTCCCTGTATTTGACCGGCAATCACGGAGCATGAGGCTAATTCTAATCTCCTTTCAGGTCGCCAGCTGTAGTCATGACGGATCTATTTGGTTCGGATGTGTAAGTGCACTCCGCTCAAATTCACCGGTAACATTTAACAGTTACGGGCGTTTGAGGGACGCTGCTGCCTGTTAAGGGAAGCTGGGCATTTACGCTCGCATTTTGGTTAACAGCACACGAGAACCTTACGCGTCGTAATTTACATCTCTTTGAGATCACATTTTAGATCGGTGCAAGATGAGCAAAAATTGCATATGACTCCAAACGAAGTGACCATAATAAAGCATACCATTCATTCTGACGTGAGCACGAAACACATTCTGTTCTAGCGAGATCAATTTAATACATCCACCAGCGGCGTCCAATGCTCTGTCATGATGATTTAATGTCAGGTCACTCAGTAGGACTCTTCGAACAGAACAATTTCCGGCACATCAAACCAAGTCGCAGTCTAAAAGGCGTTCGCGCCGCGCAACAAAAGGGTCCACATAATTGAGCCTAGCAGGACAATGGCCCGAGCAGCCTCGCCCAACTGAGCAGCCATTAAACCACCGGGTAAGACGCCTGGGTAGCAACGCCGCACTGGTTACGCCTGTTGCGCGCCATCCAGATGTAGCCGGCTTGGCCCCAGCTGGTACCCCACGAGTTCTTGACCAGCCAGTAGTCGGCACCGGCCTCGGAGCCGTAGCCCACGGCCAGCACGCCGTGGTCGAGCCGCGAGCTGGAGCAGGCCGCCTCATCGTACACGCCGGACGAGTAGAACTGGAATGAGAAGCGCGAAGCGTCGATGGCGACGGAGACGGGGCCGACGAAGGCCACTGCCGACTGCAGCGCCTCCTCGCTGCCCGACGGCACGTCCTTGTAGCTGGAGATACTGGCGCCCGGAGCGGCAGCATCGTAGCGGCAGCGGAAGCTGGAGCGCTCCTCGTACGGGTAAGAGTCCTCTGTGGCGACGCCGCCGTTGGCGATGACGTAGTCGAAGGCCGAGTCCATGAGGCCGCCTTGGCAGCCGAGGTTGCCCTGCGGTCGCGAACAATCCATCAGGTTCTGTTCGGAGAGCGACACGAGCGCACCGCTGCTCAGAAACGTGGCGCCTTCCACCGAGCCCGTGGTGGAGAAGGCCCAGCATGAGCCGCACTGGCCCTGGTCCTTGACGGGCGTGACGGCGCCCTCGTCCCGCCAGTCCTTGGCCTCCGGTAGCCGCGCGGCCGACACCTGGTGCAGGCGGCGCGGCGCGGCGCGCCCCCGCCGGCTCGTGTTGAACTTCGCCACGTACGCCTTGAACTCGCCCTCGCTCAGATCACCGAAGTGGTTCATGGCGAGGGTGAAGCTGTGCCGGCCGGCGGCGGCGGCGGCGTTGTGCTCACGGATGCGGCGCATGTTGTCGGCGAACACGCCCATCCGGTGCGCCTCCTGCTCCAGCGTCTCGTACTGCTTGCGGTGGGTCAGCTTGAAGCTCTCCCACTCGTGGCGCGCCACTAGGCTGCCGGCGGCGGCCGCAATCAGGGCGAAGAGCACGGCGAGCTGCATGGCGAGGCTGTGGGCGGCGTTGTGGCTGTCGGGCCGGCGGTGCCGTCTTTATACACGGTCGCCACTGTCCTCGCCGTGTAGTCGGGAACGGGAGCGCCCGACGCAGGTGCGTGGCCGAGATCGAGCGCTATTTGCTGTGCGTGAGAGCGCTGGCGGCTGCATTTCCGGGGCAGGGCCACGGATCGAGACCATTGTCGCGATCTGGCCGGCAGGACAGGCCGGGTGGAAAGTCCACCGGAGCGTGACGCCCCCCAGCCACGTCACTGTTTTATCGCGTTTCACACACAAAGCCCGATATGTGCACGCAGGTTATGTAGAGCACCGCGTGCACTCACCCAAACCGAGTCACGCCAGGCCGGGCGTGATGCAAGACCATGATTATATACGTCCATCGGCGGAAGGCCACGACGCTGCGTACCTTAAAGGGCAGGTGAGGCGTGACAGGGAGCGTCACCGACAGCCGACGCCAACCTCTGAAGCGGCGGCCGCCGGAACGGAAACGTGCGCGGGTTGGTGCGGGGCTGCTTGAACGGAAACGTGCGCGGGTTGGTACCGGGCCGCCGAAACGGAAACGTGCGCGGGTTGGTGCGGGGCTGCTAGAACGGAAACGTGCACGGGTTGGTGCGGGACCGCCGGAACGGAAACGTGCACGGGTTGGTGCGAGACCGCCGGAACGGAAACGTGCGCGAGTTGGTGCGGGGGAGGCTTGCTGATTGAAAGAAACCCAGCCTCGGGTTCCGAGTTTCGTTGTTATTACATCTAACCCACAAATGCCGATTTAGCCCACATTCACCACTACGTGCAGGGAAGAGCTTGCTCACTGTCGGGTGGGAGAGGCGTGTTGGTGAATTTTGTCAGGCGTCAGGCTTTGGGATTAAATTGAGCAACTGCTCACCTACCCTAGACGATTGCTTATCGCTTCTTTAAACACAGTAAACTCAACATTGGTGATCTTGGCCTGCAAACGTTCTCTATCCGTCTCCAGAGGGATCTGCACAAAACATGCCGTCTACAAATCTAGATAAGCCTGACGCATGAAATCGTTTTAGGATCCTGGTTTCCGACAGACATGTCACTTTGGACATGCGTAGTCCTTTCTGTATCAAACGAGACCAAGGACTTTTGACAACCTACTTCTAGATTGTATTGGTTCTGGACGTCACTTTAACACTTGTTTACAACCTTACATTTACGCACTTATTCGGGCTTAAAACATGATTCTGAGAATACTTGACCCAAAGCGTCGCCTTTGATCAAGAAAGCTGCACCGTTCTTATTTGTGCTCCTAAGCATCAAGGTCGATTCAACATGGACGGTTGACCTGAGCGAGTTGAACAAAGCATTGCTTGATTCTCATGTGCCGCGCCGTCCGATGTTTTTGATCTCTTCGCTCTAGCCCTCACGCTTACAGGGACCAAATGATAGAGCTGTTCACACCTTCGTCTGTGGTACAAACGAAAATCGCACAATCTAGCGATGGAAAGGGCTTTCTTTTGTTTCGGGTTGTGGGGACTAAATCCAACCCACCAACGCAGTGACCACAGCATCTTCAATGCTAGCAGATTATGCAAGCGTGAATACTGTATTAAGAGACTAACACATTATATAGCCTGCTGCATATTTCACGACCAAAAATGCCACGTTTCATTATCTGAAATCTGAACATGTCAACAATCGAAGAGCGTTTATACAGGAAGGGGCCTTAATAGGCATGCCGTTTTAAAAACATCTGGGTCCCGCAGTAAGGGTTCGTGCGACAAGTACGCATAATTTATGTGCGGTCAGGTGGGCGTCATGAGCTCAACCCAATAATATCCGCTTAGATTTATAAAAAAATAATATCGGATGGATGCAATTGGACGCAATTTGCATATAAAGAATACCTGATAGACGATTTACGAATTTTTTTGCTTTCAGATTTCTGAGTTTGGGTGCGTGCCCTTTTATTCATTTTGTCTTGGTAATATTACGTTTTAAATTAAAAGTTGCATGCTCACAATTGAATAAAATATCCTACCTCATGTTAAAAAAATGGGTTATGGACATTTCACAGCACTGTGTCCTACACAGTATCTATGTATTGTGTGGATATACAATAACTCTATATTTCTCTCCATCCGAAGCCTGTCGCACGGGTGGAGCCGCGTCCATCGCGTGCCGGTGGCAGGGAACAGCACACAGCTCGGCGCGGTGACGGAACGCGCCCCGCCCCGTGCGTGGCGACGGGCCGAGCCCCGGCGCCGTCCGTGGCTGTGGCCACGGCGGCCCTCCACTCGAGTGCTGGCCGGGCTGAAGTGGCCGCACCGGAGCCGCAGGACTCGCGTGCTGTTTGCTCGCCGCGGCTAGAGACGCCACGCCCTACCCGTGCCGGCTGCTGTGAGAGCATGCCGAGTGGCGCGGCCATACAACCAGCCAGGGCCGTTTGTGAAAAGACGAAGAGCTGTAATTCGAAAAAATGACCGGGTTAGAATGAAAAATGAAAACAGGTCGGGAAAAAACAAAACAGCATGAAATATACCAGATAAGAAAAAGAGTGGAGTGACACAATAAGGGCCCAGGGCGTAAAATCCAACGCTAATAGAGACCGAGGACAGAGGAGGAACCAGACAGAGTGGGTGGAGCGAAATGACAGTAGTTTCATTAGCTGAGGGCCAGGCTAATGTTTTGTTTTTGCTGGCTGGCAGCGTGCCGGGCGCCAGAGACCCGCCGTTTGCCCGCACCCCACGCGGGAGCGGCGGCGCATCGTCGCAAGCAATAACGACGCGGCTGATACAGTCGTCAGCTGGCGCCGCATGGCCGCGCGCTCCTACCGGCTGCACCGGGCCGATATTAATAGT